GGAAGGTGCCCCCATGGCCGGGGGGTGGGACTGGGTGGGCTTTAAGGTCCCCTCCAGCCCAAACCATCCTGTGATGCCATGAAAGGGGCGATGTCCAACAACACATTCAGAAAGCTCGGGGCTGCAGGAGCAGCTGGCACGGCTCCACGGGCACTGAACGAGCACGGAATTGTAACAGGGAAAACGGAATTTTCAGCTAGAAAGTCTGAATTAAGACAGCGTGAAAAGATCAAGCAAACATTAAGGAATATTTTCACTATCAGTATCACGTACATACAAAGAACAGGGTGAAGCTGGCCACGAAAGGCTGGGCTTTCTTGTGCTCTGGAAAAATAAACCCACTTAAACCCGCTCAGACTCTAAACTAAGCAGAAAAGTTCCTCTTTTTTTTTTTTTTTTCTTCTTCATTAAACCCCCACCAAAGCCACATCTCAGGGGAACACCCCCCTTCTCAGGCTACTCATCACCCCCTTGTGATGCCTCTGGGCACCTTCCCTGCAGCTGAAGGGCAGATTTCATGCTGTCAAGGGGGATTTTAGTTTGTACTGGCTGCGAGAGGGGAAAAACCAACAACAACGGCCCCAGCCCCATTCTGACCAGTCCAGCAAACGCTCCGCACACAGCAGGCCCCGGGGAGCTACCGGAGCTTCTCCCACCAGCTCCTCAGATCCCCAAACGTACCACCGAGTAATTACTCAACAAAAGCAGAGCCCAAAAGGAGGGAAAGCCTGTCCCAGCGCCAGAGCCAGAGCTTAGGGCCACCTCTGGTGGAAAAGCAGAAGGAACTCTCCATCCCCAGTGGGAAGCGGGAAGCGTTGGCTGCCAGAGGCGGGGACATGGCACGGCCTCGAGGGCTGGGGAGCTGCAGCTACACAGAATCACAGCGGCTCGGGTCGTCCTTCCCACCCGGGAGGGACTGAGCACCCCCCCGGGAGGGACTGAGCACCCCCCCGGGAGGGACTGAGCACCCCCCCGGGAGGGACTGAGCACCCCCCCGGGAGGGACTGAGCCCCGCTGCCCACCAGCCAGACGTGTCATGGGAAGGACAGAACTGCCTGGAGTGACTTTCGTCCACGGTGCTTCTTCCTTCCATGACCCCCAGATCACGTTGTCACGCAGAGGGGCTGAGGGGGAGCAGAGCCCCGCTGCATGTGCTGTCCCCCCTCAGCAGCCAGCACCCCCCCCAGCACGGGGCACCCCCCCAGCCCCAGAACCGTGTCTGGTGTGGGCCGAGGGAGAGACAAGGTTTAGGGGCAAAACGGGGCAGCCGTACCTCTCTTGGGGACTTTCAAGGCAGCAGATTCTGGTGTTTCTGGGGATGTTGTATCAGCTCCATCTTCAAAGACCTGGATCTGGAAACAGTATAACAACCGTTATTACACAAAGAAAAAAACCAGCAAACCGGTGTGATCAGAAACCAGACCCATTTGGGTGGCAGATTTAAACAGAGCAGGACAGATTTTTTTGGCACAGATTTTTAATCACGCAGGCAATAAAGAATATCAAAATTGAGGATTCAACAGCCCAGAACAGCTTTAACAGTCCCAGGACCACCCTACGCAGCCGCCAGCTCCTGAGCCCTGCACTGACAGTTACTTTAATTTACTGACACTTGACAGAAAGTTCATCTTTTGCTGTTTTTTTGTGTTGTCTTAGCGAAAGCTGATCAAAAACTCTACTTTCCCTTCATCAGAAAAACTGCTTTTCTATGGGGGTGGTTTGGGTTCCAGACATGCCAACAGCCCTGCAGCCTGGGGAAGCCTGGAGGCACCCACAGGAGCACTCCCAGGTCTGAGCTCTCCGGGGCTGAGGGTTTAGGGTTTTCTCTTTGTTAACTATTTTTGGACACATTTTTGCTTGATAAATACAGACAACAAGGCTAGAAAGGATTAGATCACTTCTTGAGAACCATCCCTTCACCTCAGATCAGCATGACCCAGACTGGTCCTGGCAGGTCTTTGCCCCATCCGCTCGGTGACTCCAAAGCCTGGGAGTTCAGTTTGAAACCAACAATACTCTGTAAAGCTGTCAGTCACAGCCTCTGCTTTGGGAAGATGCTCAAGTACCAGCACTGTGTTCTTAAATTAAAAGCAGCAAGCAGACAAAATTATGAGAAAAATTATGCCAGAGAAATCACAACAACTGCACTCAAGCAGGGTCTGAGGAGCGAGGCCAAGGCCAAGGCCAAGGCCCGGCAGCAGCGGGCTGGGGTGATGAGCTCCTCCGCCAAGCGGGGGAACAGCAGCTCCACTCGCTATCGGCCTCAAGGAGAATGTTTCCACACACCATAAAAGCATAACTCAGGCTCGAAATTACTACCCAAAACACAAGTCCCAGGCAGGCAAAACGTGAAGGCTGCCAAAAAGATAAGAGCGAGCACTTGGTGGGAAGCGCCCGGCGGTGCTGACACAGCTGCTCCCAGCAGCGCCCGGCCCCTGCCGGCTGGGAACCAGAGGGAGGGGTGTCAGCGGCAGGGCCCACAGCCCCCCCGCGGCACCCAGCCCCGCAGCCACCCCCCCCGAGGGCCCTCTCAGGGGGACAGTGGGACACAGGGGACGGACAGCCACCGCGCCCCGGGGACACTGAACGTCTCCACCAGGACACTCTTGGGCTCTCGGCGGGAGATCCCCACCCTGCACCCGTGGGACTCGGCCTCGAGTACAGGAAGAGCAGGGAGAAACGCTTTGGGGACAATTCCTGTTCTTTTGGGTCCCTAGGTCCCTTCGGGCGAGGCGAGGATGGGACAATGCCGCCAGGAGGCGGCGCCGGGGCCTGATCCTTCCCCGGGGTAAAGCACAGCACCAAACCCCTATGTGGGATCTGCTTGGATGATCGCATGAAATAGCAAAAAAAATTTATCTAAAATATTTGAAATTTCCCCATCAGGATGTTTTTAAAGCTGAAACTCCACAATAAATTGAAAGCCTAAGAACACCGCTGGGCTGTACTGATGCTGGTATTACTGGTGCTCATTTTTTGAGATCAGTTTTTACATGGAGGGGAAACCAGAAATCTCAGAAATCCTTAAAAAGACTTTACAAGTGTTTAACAAGATGTGCTTGTATGGATGCAGGTGATCTGCTTCGTAAGCAATAAGAAAAGCTTTGCTTATTTACAGATATTTTTTTTTCCCCTTAGAAGGATGATTTATTACAGACAATCTGTGGCCGGACACCGTGTGTAACCACCGGAGAGGCTCCCGCTACGCTGAGACCCAGCAGCGAGAGATGGGAGGAAGCAGCAGGCAGATTTACAGCCAGAGCACACGCAGAGATTAACTCTGCTGAGAGGGAACCCTCCCATCTTCCATTTCGACCTTAAACCCGGTTCTTGAAAAAGGAACGCCCAAACCGAACCGGGCAGCGCTCACCGCCTCCGCCTGGGCAGGGGACGACTCCCCCCCCCCACTCCTCCACGCTTGGAGCTCGAGGAAAAGGCCTCAGAGCTCGGAGCCACCTCAGGCCTCCTGCTCCTCAAGCCCTGGTCTCGTGTTCAGCTTCCTCAGTCCCCGCTGCCAACGTCTGGTGGGGCAGCGGGAGGGCCCGCGGCAGCGGAGAGGAGCTCGCTCTGCGGCTGAGGTGCTACGGGGGGGAACTTCAACCCCTCATTTTGTGCTAAGGAAGGAGAAAAGGAGCTGAACGTTCCAAAAAGGAGCTGAACATCCCTCACCGTGACATCGTGCTCGGAGCATGGTGGGACCCACGAGCAGAGTCACTGTTCGAAGGTTACACAGAGGAAATTAAAACGGAAGAGACTTGTTTGTACATAAGTGAGCTCCTAGCCACAGCTCAGCAACTGAGCCCAACTCATGCATTTCATATACTTTAAGGTAAACATTATTTAATTAAAATTCTCTGGTTTTACCGCCAGGTAAACACCCAGATGTTGGCCCCAAGCTTCATCTGCTGCAGCCGATAACTCTGAGGCAGCAGACAGACTTTACACTTCATTTTGGAGGCAAAACAAAACCATTCCACACTCTCTGGAATCGACCAAACTTTTTGTCACCCAATTTTTCTGAAAACATTTCAGGATAACCCACAAACTGGGCGAATGGAGCCCCTCGGTGACAGGTGCCGAGAAGCTGCTGGCAGACAGGAAGCCCTCGCTCCTTGGGGGCGCGCGGAGCCGCTCTGCTCCCCCGCACAAGGGGGGACAGAGTCTCAGGAACATCGCGCTCTCCGGGAGCGAAGGAGACTTATTTCATCACTCCCCCCGGGTGCAAGGGGCCGTTTTCCTCTGTTTAGCAGAGCCACGCGCAGGCGAGGGAGGGCCGGCGAGCCGGGCCGTGGCAGCGTACCTGTGACTGCCGCACGAAGATGCCGTGGTTCTCCTCGCAGGTGAAGTATTTCCTGCCCTGCACGGTCCCATCGTTCTTGCCCTTCGCTTCATCCAGGATGACACCGACCCACTTCCCCGTGGCAAAGAGGGTGGCCCCGACATAAGCCACGGTCCCGCGGTGGCCCTTGCCGATGACTTCGACCCGGGAGCCCACCTTCAGGGGCTTGCTGCCGGCCTCCACGCTCATCCTGCTGCCGGTGCCGGGTGCCTGGGGACAGAAGGGAGCGCAGCAGGTGAACCACGGCCGGCGTGGGATCGGCCACTCGTGCCCCTCCAGCCCCCCTCCCCTCCGCCGCCCCTTCCTGCGGGAGCCCAAAGGGGATTCCTTCTGTTACAGCTCCACCAGCAGCGGCAGAACCACCACGAACTACAGCTCCTCAGTTTTTATAGACACGCCGGACTCACAAACCCATTTTGTAAGTTTTTTATAGGCCTGGGGGAAAAAAACCCGACCAACCAACAACTGTAAGTAGCAGATGTTAGCGCAGTGATATTTGCCTTAACCGATGCTCGCTCCGACTTATTTTTCATTATATCGGGAACTGCCTGCAGCCTCCCAGCCGCCTGCACGGCACGCTCAGAGCGGACAGCCCGTTCCTGATGGAGTTTCCTGTCCCACCCCCTGTTACCGCCGGGATGTGAGAGGACCTGTGGGCCACCGCCAGCCCCAGGGTCCCACCACACGCCCACACCAGGTTCCCCACTGGATTCCCAGTGTACGACCCCGCCAGGACCCCGCGGTACCAGCGCCTCCGATCAGGATGCTGAGGGGCAGCAACCACCGGTGGTACATTCCCCAGGTTGAGGCATTACCACCACAAGCGTTAACCCACGTTTAAACGTCGGGGCGTGTTGTGGAGGCTTGGAGCTCGCCACCCCCGACACGCGCCGCACTGCCGAGGTAAAGTCAACCACGAGCGTGTTAGTGCCTCCACAGGGTGACGGGTGTGAGGAACAAAACTGAGGTGCTTGAGACCACCACAATTTAATTAAGACCAATGAAGTTTTTGAGGGGGCCTTATAAAGACAAGGCGTGCGGATCTTCCCCCCCCCCAAACGCCTCCTCTTCTGAAATAAGCCCCAGTAAAACAGAGGACGCTTGCGCCGTATTGCCACAGAGCTAATCTGTGTCATTTTTAATTGTTTAAAAAGTATCTCCATATTAACAGCCCCTCCCCAAATGCTGATGCCCTGAAAAGGCTCCTGCTTTCAGATAGGATTCAGGAGGCGGGGGGAGGTTTGAGGGCACAGCTCAGCCCGACCCTGCGGCGCTGTCTCGACCACGAAGCATGTTTGGCATTTACATCACCCCCTTTGTCAGGAGTTCTGTTTATTGTGTAGAAAATATTTTGTTTCAATTGCTGCTGGGCTTGGCTTGGGTGAAAGAATATACTCTTGATGCAGATGAGCACAGAAGGCGCCTTTCACTCCTCCGAAGCGCGGGCGGCAGTTCGGCAGCGGCCGGGGACCGCGCGGGGCTTCCCGCAGCACGGAGAGCCCCGGGGGCTCCGACAGCCCCGGGCTGCACACGCTGGAACCCCAGCGGAGACGAGACAACCACCAGCCCCGCTCCTTCGGGGGCTGAGGCGTGGGGCCTGGGTGCAGGATATACCCGTCACGCTCAGGAAATTTTGTGACTAAGAACCAATTTTCCACACAAAACCAAACGCCGCTCTTCAGCCAAAATGCACTTGGCAGAAATCAAAAGCACAAAACAATCTTTAATGAAAAAAAACAAATATCCATCACTGTTTTCTAGCAAACAAACAAAAACAAGACCTCAGATCTAAAACGCTGCACACTCAGATGTCTACCAAAATATTGGATCATTCCAGTTGCCAGGACCAGCAACAACTTCTGCAAAATATTTGCAGCTGTAAAACCAACGTGTCCCACTGGTTACAGAAAATGAGCAAAACTCTCAGGAAACAAGAAGCCAAAAGGAAAAGCAAGATTCACCACCTGAACAGAAACGTTCCTGCTCGGCGATTTTAAAACCAATCGCTACCCTCTTTATCCCTCCTGGCTCACGTTTGCCATTTGACAGATCTGGTGGCCGTAGGCCACCACGTCACTCTACAGGTGTGGGAAATGCCACGAGCTGGAAACGGGAGCTGCGGGGGTCTTACACTTGTGCTGACAGTGACAGGACAGCGGAAACCACGCTGGAAGCTCACACACCCCCTCGACGCGCCTTGGCCGGGGTTAAACCGGAGCGTGCTTACAGCGGGAATGAGGAAATGGGATCAGACCCTGCAGGCGCCCACCAGCGCTGGCTCGGGGGTGCTGATAAACAACTACCTCGATGACTTCGCAGTGAGCTGCCCTCTGCGTTATGCAGGAAAAGCACCACGCTGCCCTCCTGCAAAGAGGTCAGCTCCAGTCCTGCAGACCCTTTCCCAAACCATTATCTCCATTTTACATTGATTTAAGAATGATGTGTTCCAGCTTCGGCTCCGCTCACGATCTTCCAAATCACGAGGCTGGACCCTCCCGGGCTCACTCCTAGAGATGCTCCCGGACACCCTCTGGCAGCTGGGGCAGGGACTGGCAGAGAAAAGCCCAGGGAGATGTTTCAGGAGGAGCAGAGCACAACTTGCAGGCACCAACCCCGAGCTGCAGCAAGTGGGACGAGAGAAGACCCGCGGAGCAGAGGGAGAACGCAGCCAGGCTTTCCCCTTACAGACAATCTCGTTGCTATTTCTCCATAGCCTCAGCCTGTAGAGCAGTACAGATAAACTAGCCTCAAAAATCAACTGTTCCACCGTTTCTGCTGCAGCGACATCACATTCGATGTTGTGGGCTGCACGTGGGCGCCGGGGAACGCTTCCTGCAGAGCGCTCGCGTGGGGGCTGCGGGAGAGCTCCTCGTCCCGCTTCCTCCCCAGAGCACACCCAAAGGAAAGCACCTATCAACGGCAACCGAAACACCTCCATGTGTAAGCGATCGATCCGGGCCGCAGGTGGCTCCGCGTTACAGCTGCTCTGACAGCAGAGGTGAGGTCCTTGCCCCCTGGTCCCACGCCCCCCCGACGCGCTGCCCAAACGCCGCCTCACGAGCGGGTTCCCCCGCGGCCGCAGACAGATGCCGGCCCCGAGCCGGAGGTGCCAGTGCTGCCAGTTTGGGGCAACGACCAGCAGAGGAGCTTACACCGGCTTCTCAGCGCCGCTTTCCTCCTCGCCAGCAGCCGCATAAACTCTCCAGGGAAGAAAAACTGGGACTTCACATGGAAAAAGAATTTCCTGATTTTTTTATTTTTTTTTAAACCACCAAAAGCTCTTCAGGGCCTGTTTTACAAATTACGAAGCAGAGATGCCTAAGAAAGCAAGCAGCACCTCTTTGTTCCTTGCCAAACCATCTCCAGAGACCATCCCCTAAGAATCAGCAACAGAGCCCAGCGAGTGAAGTTCCTTCCACCGCATTTCACTTGCAATGTGCTCCGGCACCGATTTTCTGCCACAGCAACTCCTTTCCATGCAGTTCTTTAAGAGAAAGAAAAGACCTTTTCCCGGCATCGACCCAATTAGTGCAGCAGGGAGAAACTACCACCCAGCTTTGCTGAGAAGGAGCGAAGCATCCCGCAGCCTCATGCCCGGCAGCCGTCGCGGCACCAGAACGCGGGGTTCAGCCCCACCACCGAGCGGCTGGGGACATCAGAGCGCAGGTAAAAGCCCCCCAGACGTGCAATCCTCCCAACTACGAACAGAAACCCAGCGCAGGGCTCTCCTCCGTAGCGGTATGGAAAGGCAGACCAAAATAATTTACATGAGCACAGCAAAACACAGAGTTATGCAAATTACTGTAAATCTGTTGAGCAGTCTGAAAAAACTGCCAACTCAGGTAGCGTTCCCTTTCAAAGGCGCGTTTAAATGAGCTCCAGCATTTTCATTAGCAAATAAGAGAGAAGACTTCATGCTGCTTCTCGACGCGCCCACTCACACACACAAAGCATTTGAAGGTTGCTTTTTAGAGGGTAAAACAACTGAAAATCCCTGGGAGTCACCAAACCCCTGGAGGTGCCCACAGACAGCCTGGAGAAGGGGCTGTGGGTATTTTCTGTCCTCTATTTTGGGTGCCCGTCCGTCCCTCGCCAGCAATCCAGTCCCTGCTCGCCCTGGGGTAGCGGTGCTGTGGCCCGGTGAGTGCGGCCACCCCGGCACCCGCGGGCGACCTCGGCCCTCCGGGTCAGCTCTGCCTGCAGAGACCCGCGCTGGGTCAGTAACACACCTCTCAGAACGCTCCGACAGGTTAATTTATCGCTGCAGCATGAGGTGCAGACCAAGCCTCTGCATCATGAACATAAAAAGGCTTTAAATTTCTGGGAGTGTTGACCCAAAAAATAAACACACACAAGTCCAGACCCCTGCCCCAGCTGCCGTGTCCCAGTAAACGGTGACAGGCCCTTGGCTGCAACAAGCACAACGCGTCCGGCCCCGCTCCTGCAGCGCGTCCCCGGCCTTGGCACCACGTTGTGTTTCTGTCCCCAGAACAACAGAACTTCACCCAAAGCTGCTGGTCACTAAACCCAAGGAAATTCAGCCTTTGGCACCCGTTCCCGTCTCTAAGGTTTGCACGCTTCAGCAGGGGAGAGCCAATGTCTGCAAAGCACTATTAAAGCACTTAAAAAAAAATTAAGCCATAGAATCTTACCATAAAATCCCAGACTGGTTTGGGTGGGAAGAGACCTTAAAGACCACCTAGTTCCAAGCAGGGGCACCTTCCCCCAGCCCAGGTTGCCCAAAGCCCCGTCCAACCCGGCCTTGAACCCTTCCAGGGAGGGGGCAGCCACAGCTTCTCTGGGCAGCCTGTGCCAGGGCCTCACCCCCCTCACAGGGAACAATTTCTGCCTTAGATCTGATCTAAATCTCCCTCTGTCAGTTTAACCCCGTTCCCCCTCGTCCTATCCCTCCCCCTGATGACGAGTCCCCCCCCATTCCTGCAGCCCCTTTCAGCCCTGGGGGGCCGCTCTCAGGTCTCCCCAAGCCTCCTCTCCCCCAGCTGATCCCCCCAGCCATGCTGCTGTCACCCGTCACCCCCTTGTTTTCCCCGTGCCCCAGCAGTTTCCAGGAGGCCCTGCTGGATGATCCTGCGGACACAGAGATGACACTGTCCTGTAGCTCCCCGTATCCTCGAGAAGGTCAAGGACACACTCCAGGGCTGAAACGGCACGTCAGGCGGAACCAACAGCCCAACCAGCACCAGCTGCTTCTTCCCCGCAAAGCCCTGCCCCGAGATTTCACCTCCAGGTAATGCATTTTGCTAACGATAGCAACACCTTGAAGAAGTTTTGTCTTGGTTTGCCTCAGTCTGTCCGACCACGGGTCGCTCTCAGGGTTTATCTGTCCCTCAATCATTAGTTAGATGTGATTAGTTATTGGTTAGATCCACCTGGTCTGGTGGAAGGTGGCCCTGCCTGTGGCTGGGGTTGGAACCAAATGACCTTTAAGGTCCCTTCCAGCCCAAAGCATTCTGTGATCCTGTGATTCATTCTATGTTATAATTAACACAGCACCCAATTAATAACACATGGGTGTGCTTCACCACGAGAAAGCAATAAAACAAAGTCATTAACAGCCTTCTCGCATCTCCGCGATCTCACTGGTGCTGAATGACAGAAGTTAATGCCACTAAATCTGGCAAAAGTTTTCAGTCTCAAATATAAAATTAATATAATTTTGTAAATCTATCAAATAAGGTTTCATTTTAAAAAACAGAAAGTTTATTAATTCCACAGTATTCTCGTGCTGAGCGTCCTGCCTTCCCAAGAAAAGTCTGTAATTTGTAGGGTCAGCAACAAAGCATCTCAAAATAATTTTTTCCAAACCCACTTCGCTTACGTCTCGCCAAGGACCTTCCGGAGCAGCGGCCAGCCCCAGGCAGGGGTCCTGCCCCAACCCCGTTCCCCAGGTCCTCTTCCTTCTCCCTCGTCACAAAACCACCAGGGTAAAATCGCGCTCTGGAAGCCCAGAAGCTCCTTCTCCAGGGGCACGTCAGGCACAAAGACGCCTCGGCCCCCACCTCCTCCGGGCAGGTCCCACGAGTTTTGTGGTTTCCTCCAGCTCAGGTGGTGTAAAATCCGTGCGCAGAGCCCACGCTTGCCCGGGCAGCTTGGCGGAATGTGGAAGCATCTTCCTGCGGCCACGCAAAAGGCCCTGCTGGGGCGAGGGACGGAGATGGGGGGCTCAGCGCGGAACACCTCGACTGTCCAAGGCCATGACGGTCTGTACGCACCGCGTACGCCCTGAGCCCGCCCGGACACAGCACAAGGGGCAGAAAAGGACTTCGAGGGGCTTGGTGAGGTCGACCCTTGAGCTCTGCACCACGGCTGGATGCAGGATGCAGCAGGAATGGGCCCGTCCCACGTCCCCCCGACTGGGAGCGGGAAGGACAGACTGCTGCTCACCCAGGGGCAGGGGGGCGGGATGGACACACGGCGGGACGGCAGCTACGGTCACAAAGGGGACAAACGGAACGTGGCCCCCAAGTCACACCAACAGCCAAACAGGTCCTGCTCCTGGGGAGGCTCCTGCACGGCCACGGAGCCCAAGCAGAGCCTGAGCCTGCCTGGATCAGCTCCACCACAGGAGACATCCACAGACCTTCGCCCACGAGCCTTTCGTTAGGGCAGGATCTCAATTACTGTTCCACCAGATCATTAATGTCAGGCCAGGGGCTTGGCCTGTGTACCCCGGCACCCACCCGGGTGCTGCAGCACCCAGCTCGGCAGCTGCTCTCCAGCCCAGCGTCACGTCACGCCTTGGAGGGGCACCGGTGATGTCCCGGCAGCGCCGGGCGTTCCACAGCTCAGCCTGGCCAACGCAGAGCCCACCAAAACCTAGACACCAAGGGTCCGTTCGTCAGCCAGCAGGAATTTTAACAGAAATGTTTCCTGAATGCTTAATTCAGGAAAAAAGGGAGAGCACGGAACAAGCCTCCAACACATTCATGCCCTTAAGACAAGGTGACGCCTCTCTAACATGTTTCCAGCCCCTCAGGAATGGGATGGAGGGAGGAGTCTCACGGCGCCAAGGGGGAGGCCAGCGCAAACCCCACCTTCGGGAGCTCACCGTGCTCCTGCCCCGCGCCGGGTAACGCACGCGGCTTCGCCCTGACCAACACCCTGGGCGCAGCCCCCGGCCGGGCATCACCTCGGGACAGCGCACCAGGACCCGCGTTGGCCTTTCCTCATGCCGCAGCGAACGCGCCCCGTGCGGCTGGCAGCGGGGCAGAGCAAGGGCCGACGTCTCCGACGCCTCTGTCTGGCTGTGGGACAAAGCCAGGCTCTAAGCCGCCCAGCTAAACCCAAGACTGGTATCTCATGAAGACTCAAAACCAAGACGATGACCACAATTTTGGATTTCCAAAGGAGAGCAGCTGTCCAAGCTGGAAATCACGCGTTGCCATTCGCCTTCCCAGGCGGGTGACCGCAGGCTGGGGACCCGGTGGCCCCGCGAGCGGGGGGACACAACCCAGCACTTCCGAAAGCAGGGTACGAGTGCTGGCTCCTCGCTGCTCTCTGCCCACGTGCTGCACCTCGCACACGGCAGGGTCTGCCCTTGGCTCTGCCCGGCGCCAGCTCCAGGAGAACCAACACAAATTCAGCTGGGGCTGACTTTCAGGAGCTCCTCCCCTCCCACCAGTGACCGAAAGCTCTGCTCCTGCCCACACCCAGCGAGCAAGCGAGGTGTGAGCGTCCTCCCGGGACCTGCCGGGCCACGCCACTGCTCTGGGGACCCGAATTTTGGGCACAGACAGGGGGATGGTGACACACCAATGTGAGCAAAGAGGGTGGAAGAGCAGAGAGCTGTGGGGAGCTCTGAGATGCCAGTGCAGGGAGGAGAGAAGGGGCACACGAGGCCAAAGTCACCCCCTCAGACCACGGGTTCACAGAATCCCAGAATCACGGAGGCTGGAACAGCCCTTGCAGCTCCTCCAGCCCAACCTCCCCCTGACCGTTCCCAGCTCCCCCAGATCCCTCAGCGCTGGCTCAGCCCGACTCTTCAACCCCTCCAGGGATCCCGGGGACTCCCCCCTGCCCTGGGCAGCCCATTCCAACGCCCAACAGCCCCTTCTGCACAGAAATCCTTCCTCAGAGCCAGCCTGACCCTGCCCTGGGCAGCTTCAGGCCATTCCCTCGGGGCCTGGCGCTGGCTCCTTGGCTCCAGAGACTCATCCCCCCTCTCTGCCCCCTCCTGGCAGGGAGTTGCCGAGGGCCAGGAGGTCTCCCCTCAGCCTCCTCTTCTCCAGACTGAACCCCCCCAGTTCCCCCAGCCGCTCCCCAGCAGACCTGTGCTCCAGACCCTGCCCCAGCTCCGTTGCCCTTCTCTGGCCACACTCGAGTCACTCAATGGCCTTTTTGGGGTGAGGGGCCCAGAACTGAACCCCCTCACCAAGGGGCAGAGTTTGGCAGGAGCCCTCAGGAGACCTGCAAGCAGTTCAGAACGGCTCAAGGCCTAAAGGGTGAACAAGCCACTAAATGACATTAACGGGGGGCTGATCGTACCCCGACAGCAGGGGCAGGTTCCTGCCCCCTCCGCCACAGCCTGGCCGCAGGGTACCCACGGGCAGCCTGGCAGCCCCAAGGAGGGGCACAGGGAGGCGGTGGGGATCGGGCAGCTGGGAAAGAACCGGGAACACCGACCCACCGGAGCAGCCGTCCCCGCGCCGGTGTGCGGCAGGATGGTCCCTTGGCGGGGGGCTGGGAAACCTCCACCCAGAGAGGAGCGGGTGGGGGGCTGCGCTCCGGCTGCCTGCCCCTGCCAGGAACAGGAGACTTTGGCACAACTACCTGGCACCACTCAAATCCGGCGCTTTCCCATTTTTACCCCCATTTAAAGTTTTACAGACATTTGCAGACCACTTCCTGAGCTACGTGAAGATACTGGTTATTAATGACTGAAAAGTGGAGGCGATTCCGAGGGGCTTGACTTGTGATTTGAGCATGATTTGGGTCACTACTGTGTTCCATCTGAGCATGACGGTTGGAGCGTTTCGCTCCGTTATAGCGGATAACCCGAGGAATATTTATTGTGTTCCTCTCAGCAGCCAGACTCCCATCATTACGCCGGCACGCAGGGATAGGACTAACTGAACCTCAAACTGTCACTCACAGCACAGATCAAAAGTTTCAAGCACACCCTGAACACAGCAACCCCCTCCGAAAAGCTCCCGTGGCGAGATTCACCACCACAGGTTCAGGTGCTCTCGGCCTCAAATTCGAGGGGTGACCCAACACGGAAAGACTTGGAAATATTGTAGTTTCTGTTAAGTCTAGTTATTACGGGAGAACGCGCGGCGCTGCCGTGCTGTCCCTACTGAAAGCGGGGGATTACCCCGGATCAAGAGCGGTCCCGTGGGGCGGGGATGTGGCAGGGGTGGCTGCCAGCTCACCCAGCGGACGCCGTGGTGGCACGGGTCAGCCAGGACGAATCCCACCCCACGCAAACCCCCCCGTGGTCCCGGCTTCACCCTGCTCCAGGCTGGGGAGCGAGAAGCCAAACACGGCCGGTTTGGGTGATTCCGGCCGTGGTGACAGCGGCCGCGGCGCTGGCCTACGACCACACGTCCCTGCAAGCCCGGCTGGGCCACCGCAGGGCCAGGCAGTCGCCCAGGCAGGAGGGAGAGGGCAGCCCCGGTCCCCGCGGTCCCGATCCCAAAACGCAATTGAGTCAAACGTTGATAAACCGCCTTCACATCCCGGAGACGCGG